GTGTAAATCAGAAATGTTCTAAGATGATTTTCTTTTTCTTGTCCTGGATTTATTTTAAAGGATAATAATTCTCTGGTTCTTCTGAGTGATCTCTTTCTACATCACTGTGGTTTTTAGTGCCTGTAACAGCAATCAAGGCTTGGGAGGAAAAGAATCTAGGGACTTCCCCCTTTTAGTCATTTTTTTAAAACAAACTGAGAAATTTAGCCTCTGTAAAGCCAAGATTTACCAAATATTGGAAGATTAAGTTTCTACCTTGTATTTTGTTGTGTTTTCTATCTTTTTGTTTTCTTTTTTGTGTTTTGAGAGTATTTCTGACATAAGCATACTTTTTTTTTTCTTATTTAATTTATAGAAAGAAGAAAATAGGTAGTTTTGCCTAACTCCAAAATAACAGATTTTGTACTTTTCAAGTTAACTGTAACAAAATAAGATAAATCATACTTGGGATACCAAATGCAATAAAGCTCAACATCATGAACAAATATAATTTTTCTTTAAGAAATTAAAGAAAATCAGTTATGAGCTAACAGGTAACACAGTCAGAAAAGTTTCATAAGAACATATCACTTAATTTTGTGATAATAAGAGTAAATATATGCTCGTAAGAAATTACTTTTGCCTATAGGCTGGCTGTATTTTTGTTCTTAGGTTTTCAAAGTATCAGTCATATCAATGTTTCCTACCTTTTACTTTTATTTATATAATGGAATATGAAAGCTAGTTTAGTGCATGGCAATTGAAATTTTAAAATTTTATTGTCCAAAGTGTTTTGATCTAAGGTTAATATTATTAAATGTTCTATAATTAATTTTAATTAAGAGAAAACTAAAAATTAAGCCAATTGTTGGGCTTCTAACTTCACTCATTTTAAACAATTTCTGTGATGAGTGATGAGTAAAGTGAGATTGCACAAATACAAATCGCATCAGTGATCAATGAATGTTATTTGTCACTGTTATTTTTTAACCTCTCTAAGGTGGCCCAAGAAAAGTGAATACTTCTCCTCCCATTTTTTTTTTTTAGTCTAGACTGAAGGAGGAAGAGACAATATTACATTCACAGTAAATAGGCATTTTCAAATGCAAAAATTTTAAACCTTGCTTGGTGTGACCATTCCTATGAAGAGTAAGCCATGTGATCAACTGATTCTAGGCTTGCCCCATCTGTAGTACCAGGTCACATGTTGTTGATTTATAGGAGTAGCTAACGATATCCAAAAGTTGGCTGAAGGATTAGGAGGATGGTCGGGGAGTGTGCACACCCCCACCCTATTTCTGAGGACTGTCTTACCCAGAAATCTTTGCTACTTACTTTAATGGCTGCCTAAATCTAGTAAGAAATAATTTTAAATTACTATAAAATTTCAATTCTAATGACTAAGATAATTATGAATAGGAATTTATTTGCCATATGAAAATATAAGAGAATAAATTATCTTCACTTTTGACAATTTTGACCACACAAAAATATATTCTGCATTTTTCAAGAAATTATACTACTCTTTCCTCCATATTTACCAGAAAGGTTAAAAGATGAGTCACTTTTATTGCATTATACAATAAATAATATATCTTATCAACTAAAAGCATATAACTTTGAGTATTACATTATTTTCTTACATTTAAAGAAATCATTGTTTTTTATTTACTATGTGCACAGAGCTTTTTATCAGAATTTAACAATCCCAGTCAGAGTGGCTTGTTAGATGTGAAAATGTTCCTTTGGGAAAATTTTTTTGAAATTAAGTTTCTAAATATCACTTTCTTTGAAATTAAAGCAATGTATTCCTATCTCTACAGAGTTACCTTTGTGTGCTTTTCTTGATATGCACATTTAGTCATGTGTGTTGCTTAGCATTCATTTTTGTTTTAAGGTCAACCCTGTAAAATTTGATTATTGACTGTCACACACTGTATAAATAACTTGGGAAATTATTATCTTAGACATAAATTCCCTGGGCCAAAGGATTTATCTTTTTTCCAACACATATATTTTAAGAATATAGTTCAGTTTAGTCAACTCGTATTTATCTTTTTTGGAAGTTTTTCATGAAAATAATGGTCGAGCCAGGTGCAGTGGTACATGCCTGTAATACAAGCTACTTGGACTAAGGCTGAGCTCAACCTAAGCAAATTAGTGACCTTGTGAGATTCTATACCAAAGTTAAAAAACAAAAATAGGGTGGGAATACAGTTCAGAGAGGCTTTGGATTCAATTCCAAATAATACTAACAATAACAACAACAATAATAATTATGTTGAAACGTGCTTTTCATCTATTCCCTTCTTCCATAGATGCCACTAGAAAATAATACTTCCAAAGTTACATACGGGATTCCATTCTTCCCCTAAATGTTATGGATTATTGTTATCTTTTCTTCAATTAATGTCAGTGCTCATAGCAGTGCTAAGTTGCAAACCTTTTTAGTCATTGCGAATTTCTGTGTTTCAACCTCAACTTCAGCATCTGAACAAATTTTTATGACTCCTTAGATGAAAGACATCAGTTATCCTCTACATTTCCTTATGAACTGTTTCTTTATCTTTAGAATCAATAAAATATCTTTTTCTTATCTTTAGTATAAAATAGTTAGCCCTCCTCTTATAGGCTCACACAGCAACTTTAACTTTTTCAAAATGCTTATTTAAATTTTTAAACAGAAATTCGTTCATTGAGAAGATTTAAAAAAGAAAAAGCAGGGCTAGAGATTTAGCTCAGTAGTTCTGCTGCCTGCCTTGCAACACAAGGACTGGAGTCCAATCCCCAGTACCAAAATAAATAAATAATTCTAAAAATAATTAATTAATTAAAAAAATAAGAGAAAGCAAAAAATATGGGCATTGTATAATTATTTAATGGAGAGTGTTTTCTCCACGAGACTTAGACACTGCATATGACACATTCAGAGCTGTATCTCCAGGATGAGGTAGGACTTGGCATGTAATAGGTGCTCAGTAATAATCATTGGATATCTTCTTGCTTTTAAAAGTACATGTAGAGACACATTTTTGAAAAGCTTGGAATGTGTTGATGGTTATTGTTTTCTTCTAGTCAATTAAGAAGAGTGCATTCTGGGATCATGCTTCTAAAACTTTTTTTTTCCTTGAGACAGGGTCTCACTATGTATTTGAAATTTACCTGGAACTCACTGTGTAGCCCAGGCTGGCCTTGAACTCACAGGTATCCTCCTGCCTCAGCCTCCCAAGAGCTGGGATTATAGGTGTGTGCCACCACACCCGGCTTGGGATCATGCTTCTATAAAATGCTCAGAAAGGAGGAAAGGAAGGCAGCTAACATTAGTTGTGTCCTATTATGTGCCAGGAATTGTGGCAGTTACTTTAGATATATCTGTGATCTCTTTTAGTACTTTAATTGTACATAAGATCCTAATGGTATAATTGACAATGTGAAATAGGAAAAAAGGGGCTAAAGGTGTAGGGGAAGTGGGAAGGGTAGAGGAAAGGAAATAAGGGAAAATAAAAAAATATGAGAAAATGAAAAAATGGAAATAAAGTTTTTGTAAGTAGGGAAGGGTGGAGTGGGTGAAGGGAGGGCAGGGACAAGGGGAGAAAATGAGAACCAAGACCTGCCATGTAAAGGTACAAGATCCCAATAATGAATGTAACTGTACTGTATCCCTAAAATGTACCAATAAACTCAGTGAGGAGGAAAAAAAACTGGATCTGGAAGTATTACTCTTCATTTGTAAGAAGAAGGACTGTGAATTTTTCAAAGCTTAACTGATGATTATCCTATACTTAAGCTAGAAGCTTAAATTGTGTTATGGCTTGTGTTTAGTGTCTCCCCAGAGCCTCATGCTTTCTAGAGGTGGATGAATCTAGTGTGTGTGATTGATTCATGGTGGGGCTAAACCAAAGGACTAGGGGCGTGAGTGCTACCTGCCCTAATAGTTTGGATGGGATAAAAGGGGCAGAAAGACACTGTTAGGGTCCTTAGTCGCTTTTGCTGTCTTCCACTGCCACCCTGCCTTGGAACTAGCTGATTATGGACTGAAACCTCTACAAACTGTAAGCCAAATAAACCTTTTCCCCTTTAACTTCAGGTGTTGGTTATTTTGTCTCAGCAATGAGAAAAAAGTAATTAAGACAAATTGTCATTTCTGTCTTGAGCGTAATTTATTACCATTAATATATTTATCTCTGAAATTTTCAATTAGCATTATTAAGCTATTTCTTTATATTTGGTTAATCCTCATTTTTAATTTAACATTCATGTAACACCTGCTTTAATTAGAGCAGAACATGCAGTATTTATTAATATGCACACAACAAAAATCCCTGATCTTCAGTGTTACTCTTCTGAGTAGTAAAATTTGATTTAAATATTTGGGCTAAATTCTAAGTCATACAACCTGATTCCCTCTTTTCTATTTTTCCCTATTGAGCCATCTATCTTCACATCCAGATTAGGAAATTAGGCTATATAGCTGAACATTATAACATAATATTGACTAAGGGTGAAAAAAAATGGCTGGATGAAAAAAATCATAGACCACAGAAATTGTTGGGGTTTTCCCGAGTCTTAAATCATTCTAGCTTAATTAACACATGCAGAGTTCAAAGAGGTGATGTATGAGGTCACTTTATGAAGTAATAGTTTGTTATGAATTTGGACCTGGAAGAGTATATAGAGGTTGGAGGTGATACAGGGGATTCTGGAAATTTTTGAAAGAAAGATGATGGCATTTGGCTTTAATGTATGAAGATGTTAGAACTAGTCATCTATTTGTGTGGTTTATCATGGTGGTGGAAATGATAAAGCAATACAGGAAGTACATGTGTAAACAAGTTTTATTGGCCCACATTTACTTGCATACCTGAGAAAGTACTATATTTCTTTTTCTTTGAAGAGCAAGTAAGTATTCCCTAGTATGGTTTGAGATGGAAACTTGGTGGCTTACAAAATGTTTTTGCGTAGGGAAGTAACTTCTTAAGGTCAAGAACCCTCAAAGGTAATATATTAAAAACTATGGGCTAATACTTATGTGGCAGAAGAGATACCACGATCGCAAAGGTGGTTCCCAGGGTGAGGCTTATGCATTACACTATGCATGTGCTGACCCCTGAGATTTCCCCAAATTCTGGAAACTCAACTGCATCATTTGTGGTAGTGGGGGACTGCATTCATGCTTTCCTTTGATGAAAAAGAACAACTGCAAACAAACAAGCAAACAAATACAATGAGCACTAAAAAGGAAAAGTCATGTTAAATCTGTTTTTGTTTTGTTTTGTATCTCTAACTCATGGAAACGTAGCTGACATCTGATAAAACTCAATATATCTGTTAAATTGATAAGTAATGCTATATGACATAGTTATACGTAGACTGTGGACTGGAAATCTCTGTGTCCATATGAGGTCAACATTATGAATGGATAAAAGTTTTATTCAAAGTGCAAGACCAAAGTCAGGCGTGGTGGCACATGCCTGCAATCACAATACTATTGGAGGCTGGAGAAGATTTGAAGTTTGAGCCCAACTTGGGAAATTTATCAATTTAGCAAGATTCTGTCTCAAAATTAAAAATCATAAGGGTTAGGATATACTTCAGTGCAAAGGTGCTGGGCTCAATCCCTAGTGCTGAAAAAAAAAAAAGACATGAATTTTAATGTAACAGTATAATTTTTTGAGACAAACTCTTATTATGTAGTCCAGGGTGGTGCTGAATTGGCAATCCTCCTGCCTCAACTTCCCAAGAGCTGGGATTACAGGTATGCACCACCATGCCTGGAATTAGTATATATTTATTAATATGGTTTCAGAATCCATAGTTCACCTTACTTATCACTTAAGTTTTTGGTGAAGTATGGAAGAATATCTGCACCTATCTGAAAAGATATGGAAAGAATCCCCTCCTTTCTAATGACTTACTAAAGGGAGGTTGAATTCTTTTCATGTCTCACAGCTAATACAAATATGAATTTAAAAAAGAAGCAGATTTGGTAACTCAACTGTATTCTATTAAACCAGGCATTAATGAGATCTGTAAAATGTGAAATAGTGCCTCTCTTCTTACAAAATATTTTTGTTTGGGGGAATATATTTAATGAAAGGTGTCACATGTTTAAATACTAAATAGTTTCTCTGGTGTGAAAAACTAAAAGTATAAATAAGATCCAAATTGTTTAATTGACAATGTGAAATAGGAAGAAAAGGGCTAAAGGTGTAGGGGAAGTGGGAAGGGTAGGGGAAAGGAAATAAGGGAAAAGAAAAAAATGAGAAAATGAAAAAATGGAAACAAAGTCTTTGTAAATAGGGGAGGGTGGAGGATGTGAAGGGAGGATAAGAATATGGGGAAAAAAATGACAACTAAGATCTGTCATGTAAAGGTACAAGATCCGAATGATAAATGTAACTGTACTATATATTTTAAAAGTACCCATAAACTCAATGAGAAAACAAACAAAAAGGTGGTAATTTTTATAAAAATAGGATATTTACACCAACATGCATTGACTTTATTATTTTTGTTTTCAATAAACTAGAAAATATATATTTTAAATGTTTTCATTATAATTTCTACTATAAGCAAATGTGTATGCTTGTATTTCTATCACATAATTAAGAGCATTCAACAATTTATTCAATAATTTTAAGAGTAGAAAAGAGCCTTAAAACCAAAAAGTTTGAGAACTGCCGATACAAAGCTTAATAATTTTCATATACATAATTTCATTTCAATCACCAAACTATTTTGTGAAGTAAGCAGGTCTAATGTTGTATCTCCTTTTATGCTATGTACTGCTTTATCCTCAGCATTTGAATGGTATTTGTATATTCTAACCAACTCAAAAATATTTGTTGAATGAAATAATATTTGTTGACTAAATAAGCAAGGAGGAGGGGATAGAGATAGGTTAGAGAATTAAGCCCTTTACCACTACATATCAAGAAATTACTATGTCACCAAGTAATCAAGACAATACTACATATCAAGTATTGAGCCAGGTGTGATTTTCTATTAATCATTTCATACAGTTGCTACAAAGTTAAATAATAACTGACATAGTGTTGGTAAGATATTGATGAAAACAATGCTGAGATTCCACCTCATCTCAGAAAGAATGGCTACTATCATGAAATCAACCAATAACAAATGCTGTCATGGCTGTGGGGGAAAGAGGAACCCTTCTTCATTGTTGGTGGGAGTGCAGACTGGTGGAACCACTGTGGAAATCTCTATGGAGACACCTGAAACAACTAGGATTAGAAGTCCCTTTTGACCCAGCTATTCCTCTGCTAGGTATCTTCCTAAAAGAATTAAAAGAATAATACCACAGCAATATATTCTCACACACGTTTATAGTGGCACAGTTTGTAATAGCTAAAATTTGAAAACAGCCCAATTGTCCATTAACAAAACTGGATAAAAATATTTTTTTTTATAAAATGGAGTACTACTTAGCCATAAAAAACGAGACACTGGAGATATTTTTAGCTAAGTGGATGCACATTGAGACCATACTCTTAAATGAAATTAACAAGTCACAAATGTGTAAATACCAAAACTTTTCTCTGGTGTGAAAAACTAAAAGTGTAAATAAGGATCAAAATGTATGATTGATAAGGAAGAAAGGTCTAAAAGAGTAGAGGAAGTGAGAGGGGTAGGGGAAAGGTGAAAAAATATGTGAAAAGGAAAAACATGGAAACAATGTCTTAGTAAACAGGGAAGGGTCAAGAGGGTGGAGGAAGGTCTGGGAAATGGAGAAAAGTAAGAGCCAAGATAAGTCTTGTAAAGGTACAAGATCCCAATGATGAAAGTAACTGTATTGTATACCTAAATGCACCAATAAACTTAGTAAAGGTTAAAACCTTTTTGGTTTTATCTTAATTTTATCTTTTGAGGAATAAGGACTTTCCCTAAATTAGTCCAGTAAACAGAACCTTTCCTAAAAATGCTATTCAGAGTGAGATTTGATATTTGTATGAACACTGACCAAGGCAGTGACTTTACCTTTAGAAAATAATATGGAATGCTATGATTGTATTCAATAAGGTAAGTAAATTCAAAGATGCCATAAATATTAAAAGTTACTTAATTTACTTTTCTATAATCTATTATAATCTCTGTTATAATTTTGATATTCTTGACCTTAATTACTTCAGTAATTCCTCAGTTACTTATTCATTTTTACTTTCTAGCCTCTGAAACATTTATATTGTCCTTACAACATTTACCATTGTCTTGAATTTTATAGTTATTGAATTTTTAATCTGAATTTAGGCTTTAGATTGTACACTCCATAAAGTAAGCTCTTTATTTGTCTCATTTACCACAGTATTCTTAATGTTTAGAATAATATGCGACATGTAGTAAATTCTCAGTAAATATCTACTAAACCATAAATAGAAAAGAATAAAACATACAAAAAACAGCAGGATATTTTTAAATTAAATTATGGCATGTGTGTGTGTGTGGGTGTGTGTGTGTGTGTGTGTCTAATCATGTGTGTGTGTGTGTGTGTGTGTGTGTGTGTGTGTCTAAACTAAGCAGAAGAAACCACAATAATTTGAACAGAAAACTTTAATATGAATTATTTTAAAAAATTAATTTAATTGGTACCTTTTAGGTACACAATATAATGACATTCATCATTGGAAATGTGTACTTTACATAATCTATCTTAGTTCTTATTTTTTCCCCATTCCCCTTTCCTCCCTCAAGGCCCTCCATATGAATTATTACTAGTAAAGGTTATAAACTCCCAAAAGGAGAGAAGAGAACTCTAAGAAGTGCAGAAGTAGCAAGTACAGAAACCATCTAAAGAAGACTGAAGAAGAAAGGAACACATAATTTAGAAGGGCTCTTCTCCTCTGTCCAAGACTGAGGTCCATGGTTTTAGAGGGGTGTGGCTGCCACAGCAGCCTGAAGAATGCCACCGGTGAGAAACTTGCTGAGAATGGAGCCAGAGATAGCCCATAGGATCAAACTGTCTTGTGGGAGAAAAATGGTGGTTTCATGAGACAAACCACAGAGGAGAGACTACTAGACCTCTCCCCAAACCATCAACTGGCTGTCCATGCCAAAAGTAGCACTCTGAAAGTAATAAAGGAATTTTCTTCCTCCAAATATGATCTTGCAGTGTCCCTCCAGCACCCTCTATTGACAAAGTTTAAAATTGAGGTAGGTGGTAAAGGAGGCATGTAAAAAGATAGCTCCAAGATCAAAACACAGGGCAAAGAAGGGTAAATGTGGAGCTGAAAAACAATAAATTGGTAATTGGCACATTGAACTATAATGTTTCTATTACAAAGGAAATGCTATACATATATACAGAGTATTTCAATTTTGAGGTGACAAGTCACCATGTAAGCAAATGAAAATAAGCATGCCCCTCCTCTATTAATTTATATATTCAAGAAGATAAAATTGGAAGCAAAATGAACAGTCATTTTAGTGTATATATTGTTGATGTATTGAATTGAAACAATGAATATGTATTACTTTGGAAATGTCTACAAAATATAATAGACTTCAAGAGCCACAATGGCAGAGTAGCAATCAGCAGCAAAATTTAACCTTTTCAAGACTCAGAGTCCAGACACCTTTAAACAGCAACTTGGTGAAGAACAAATAGAATTAGATCTCCAGGAATTGGGAAGGAACTGACAGGAAAATTTGAAGCTACAGAGAAGTTGGAGAAATAAACCACAATTCAGAGAATAGAGCAAAGCATTCTGGAAGTTTAACCCAAGCTCCCAAGGAGGGGGAACTGTATCTGCAGACTCAAGGTAAACTCCTAGGGTTGGGAACTCCAGGGAGAAACAATGGACTGAACCAGCAGTGCAGGCCCAAGAAAAGCCCACAGCTATTATAAAATGCATAAACAGCATGGGGGGTTACTCCAAAAGTAGCTCCTTCCATGTGGCAGACAACAGTTGGAGAAGGAACTCAGTGCAATAACCACTATAATGCCAAAAAGTGTTTAATCAGGCACCAATTTTATGAAGGGATTGTTATTTAAGACAGGCTCAGAACAACTAGCAGACAACTAGACTTCAGGGTTCCAGAGTAACTGTCTCACAGTGTTTGGTTGTGAGACAGCCATGCAAGACTTTTGTGGAGAGAGTGTGAACTAGACATGGACCCACTGAGAATTTTAAGCTCAAGTAAGGAGGGACATGGGGCCTATCCTACA